CTCTTTCCACACCTTGTTTCCTTTTTCTCCTTTTTATAGCAATACAGGTAAAGTTAAGGCTGTTCCCCAACAAGATAACCCTACATTACAACTGTTTATCTGCATATTTTTTTAGTCTGTTTATTTCAAGTTATGTCCATGTTTGGTATAATTCTGCATCACTTTGAGCTGGACTTGGAAGCAAGTTGAATACACAGCAGTTTGTCTTAAGTTCTGCTTTGAGATCGACTATTTATGAAGCCAAGGGAGAGTGAAATATCATATTGCTGAATTTAAAAACCTCATCATTTAATCTTATTGGTGATTTCATCTTTGATTCAATTTTATTTTCTAATTAATCATTTGAGAATTTTATCATTCATATTTCCAAGGAAGTAAAGTATCAATAAATGCTTACTCAGTCCAGTTATGGCACCTGCCATTCTTAACATTAGAATAGGTTCCTATCTCACACGGTTTACATTTGAACGTGAAGTCTAAAACGCCTGTAAGAAAAGAGAACATGAATTATTAGTGGCCTTTCCTGAAAGATGGAGATACAACAGATTAGAGCATAATGCATTCCTTCTACACATTTTCTGCATTACGAATTACCCCCCCACCCCCATAAGAAACACATAAGCAGTTCTTACCACCTTTGGGGTTTGGGAAACATATGGGTGGACCCCTTACAGAAGGGGTACAGAACAGTCTGATCTGATAGCAGAGGGGGTAAGGTTCAGAGGCAACACAGAGTAAAACAGTCTCCTGCCGACCGTTCTAGCAGCTTGGAAGAAAAGGATTCCAAAAGTCCGAGCATGAAAAGTGAAAGTCTCAAATTTAGGAAGGGAAGGGTTATAAAACAGGGAAAGTAGGAGTTTTAGTCAGAGAGGCTACAGTATAAATGCCATTTCTCTCTGCATCATGAGCCTTCCCAAAAGTAGGTTATAACGAGTGAAGGAAACTGTCTGCTGCTCAGCCAGTCACTTATACTGAACTCTGGCTGTTCGAGTCATTCGTGTTTCTTTACTTACCAAGCTTAACCAGCTCCTCGCCCTCTGCGCATTCAGGCAGCTTTTTGCAGTAGTGACATGCACTATCAGTACAGCTGTATCCCTGACGACATTTGCATTCGTGGTCCTGGGTGTTTTGACATATGCCGTCATCTCCTGTCAAGAAGAAAGAAGTTAGATTTGCCTTTGTCATAGAGGCCAGAAATTAACTCAACCATTAGTCTTACTGGCTGACACAGGTGAAATAGTTCCTTACTGTGATGTGGTGGAACAAATGGATACCAGAAAGATGTCGCTCCCAGGGATACTGGATAAAGTTTAGAGTACTCAAATTCAGCACCATGCAGATTTTGACACCTTGGTTATCTGAGCACTGCGTGACTCACCATGGTAGCCCTTCTCTCTTACCTGGAATACCAGCGTAAGTCATGGTAGACAGCAGTAAGGCAGCAGGTTTGCTTTACTACATTGCGCAGATTTAGACACTGGGGGATGAGGGGGGCACTGCCAGTGCCCCCGAGAAGCACTACACATTAATTATCCATCCAGTCAGCTCTCAGGACACTGCCATAGCTCTTCTCATTTAGGCTCAGCCTTGAGAGGAGGGATGCCCAAAAGATCCTTGGCCAGTGAAGCTAGAGCTCCTTTTCCATGCCTTTCCTAACAACAGCAGCTGCTTCCTACACTCTGTTGGCAGAAGTGGGTCTAAATCCACGCCATAAAACCAGCTACCTTCCTACCCTGTGTTCTCTGTTTCTGGAGGGGTGCTGTTGTGAACTTTGCTTGCACTCCAAAAATACCACCTTTAATTCTAAGAGGCACCCAGGTTCGTGAAAGCAAAGGATTGATCATATATACTGATCCATCAGTAAACAGTCTCAAGCAGTCCTTCAAGCAGTTGGAGGTCAGTTAGAGGAAAAGTGCTGCTCAACCAGGAAGCTGCATAACCTTAAAGAAAAAAACATATAGAGGGAAATGCTGCCTAGTTCAATATCGTGCTTAGAAACCCACAGTGAGTAGCAAAGATCAAGCAAAGATTATTTCCTGAGGTTGGTGATGGAATGTACAGGGCAACCAGGAAACTGCCCACATCTTCCTCTGCCCACTGGCCTCCTCTTACTGGCCTTCAAAACTTTAAGAAGTCTGGCAGCAAAAAAGGAACAACTTGGGGATGCTTCTTTCTGCATATAATTAGTGGGTGATTCTGCAGTTGATCCCACCACGCAATGACTCTCCTACCTCATGCTGACTGACTTTATGTCAGTGGGAAGGGAAATACCCTGGGGTCTCCACACTACTGAGGACTCTATAGCTTTTCACCTATTTATTGCTCATTCCCACAAATCCCACGTGTCCACTCACTCCTTCCACAGGGTACTCGGAGTCCTTGTTGTCAGTTGAGGCAGATGGTGCATTCCTCACTGCAGGTCATAGAAATAAGCTGCATGTTCCCTACTGCTCAGCTCTGTCTACCATTACGGACAGCACTAAATTAGGAAGAATAGTAAGTAATGATCACCTGAGACCTTGTCTGACCATTGACTTCTGGGACAAGCACAGGTCAGTGGAATGGAGGGACTGGAGTGGGATGATTCCCACTCCTTAGGACCACAAATTGCAAAGGAGACCCTTACAGAGAGCATCGCCCCCTGTAATCCCTCTGAAGTCTGAATGGCACAGACAAACTCTGAAACCACGTTTGAATGGAGCAAGGGCTCAGAATCAGCGTTAAGTGAACACCTTCTTTCCTTGGGAGCAAGACCAACCCACAGAAACTTAGTTTTCCCTTCCCTACTACATAATTACGAGTACATAATAAATCTGAAACATGAGTCCACTCTGAAGTTTATCGCTAAGGCACGTTATGAATTTAGGGGGGCAGGACGGAAGCCCTTTCCATTTTGTTTTGCATATACAGTTACTCAAGATACATTCACATACACACACACCTGTTCCCCGCACATGATTACCCTGGTTGACAGAAAACAATATTGAGAAACAGAAAGAAGACCGACACATCATTCCCTTACCTTTGTCTGAGCTGCATTTGGGGCAGCATTTCATTTTGTCTTTACTGATTATTCTCAGTTCACCGTCCTGGCACGGCGTTGCCAGAGTTTGCTGTGTCCATTGCCACAGGCACACCACCAGCAGCAAGCAAGCTCGAATCTTGAGGTGACCGACTTCACTTGTCTGTTCAATCATGTCTTGGAGCTCTGCAACCCAAAAGCACACTAGGGTGGGCTTGTATCAGGGCTTTGCTGCAAAAGTATGCTTTCCCCAACACTGCGAAGGCGCTGTGCTTTTTGTGACTGCACTGTTCCTGTTTCCTTGGGGCGGGGAAAATGTTTTATTTTACGTCATCAAATTCTAAAAAAAAGCAGAGCTAAGCAACCATACATCAGTAACTTCATTAAGAGAACAAAAGGTTAGGAGTGAGACATAGCATCATGTAATTTAATTTTCAAAGGATTTTGCAAGTTTATATACAATTGGAAAATAAAGCAAATGAAATTAGTGTGTGAACTTCAGCGCTCTATTCAGACTATTTCATTCTGACTTAGAGTTCCTAATGAATTTAGAAACCTTCAAGGATTTAACTATCAGATTGTAAGGTACAGTAAGTCCAGCCATGCACTCAGATTTTCTGATTCTGTTAATTGTTTTCAACTTCCTTCACTCTGGATCAGGAAACTCCTGAATTATTTTCCAGAGCTGGATACACCATGAAACCAAGAGAAAGAATACTGTCTTCCCCAGGGTCTGCAAAATCAGCACCAAAGCTGAAAACGGCTGCAATGGGCTCTTTTTTAGAGACACATACAGCTCCTCTGACCCCCAGAGCACTGAGATTTAACAAAAGACACCCGCTCAGCAAAATTGTACATAGGCACAGCTGTGTTGCGTGTAATCATCACCTGCTGCAGGGTTTCAATTCCAAAATGTCTTGCCTTATACAGATGCATATGCAATCTCCCATCTCTGCTTTATGTGTAGACAGCTTGCTTGCTCCCCGCCACACACACTATTTTTCCACTGTACCCTGGGGTTTGCTTCTATCCCTGGAGCTTGTGGTTGCTTTTATGTGTGCACAGTGAAGACAGTATTTAAAATCCAACCTCATTCTCAACTGAACAGATGAGTTCTGATACAGAAGCAGTTTTTAACGGATTCTTTTCCACAGAGCATGTGATGACACATAGGTCAAGGCAAGGGAGAGTCAGACCTGTGAAGAGATGAGCACCACTAGAAAATGCCATGCCAACAGCATTTGACATTTGCCGTGTTAATTCCTCAGTTTAATACACAGCCAATGAAGCCTGAATAACCTTCCCACACAGCCACCAGCACTCTTCCTTCAGCATGTTCTACACTTTCTTACTGAAGATTCACCTATGGATCTCAAAGAGCAGGTCAGTTGACGCACTTTTCACTTAGTCTTTGGTCTACTCAGGGATCTCCTTGTGTTCCTGTCATGGGTTGGAAATAATCAGATAGGTTTGGTATGCAAAGGACCCTTCTAGTTTTAAAAATGTATGCTGCAAAACTACTCGTACTCTTAACTGTGCTAGGTGAAACCTTTCTATCAAGAGATAACATCCAAACTAGGTGCTAACAGGCAAAACATGCACGTGTCTGCCGTCAGTTTTTCCCACATAATGCCCCTAGAAGGCCAACTGTTACATTTCAGAACCTAAAAGCCTCCTACTTTGTAGGAGATCCCCTTCTCTTCCCACATAGCACTGCTCCTCACACTTGTCAAACCCTGTACCATTCACATTGCGCTGGAAACACAGACACACCACCCGCTGCGGCTGCTGCCCAGCTGGCCACGGAAAGTCCTGCACACCACAGTTTTGGGGTCAGTCCCCCAGGCCAGGATTCCTTTCGCCAAGCCCCTCCAAACAGCATAACCGCAACGCTTGGGCAACACAGGGAAGGTCTACACGTACTGGTCAGGGTGCTGCCCTTGCACAGAAAACACGGTGTGCTCAGCAGCATGCAAAACTTCATCTCACCCCCTTCAGAACTCAGCAGAGTCTCATGAGGAAGACAAGTTATTAGGCAAAGCACTGGGACACTGCAGCAATACACTCCAATCGGTTATGACCATTTCTGAAGTGCACACAAGGCCTGACCAACTCCGAGGATATTTTTATTATCCCTGGCTCTCAAAAGAATAGGCTAATAAGAAGGAGAACTTGTTTCAAAATCCTTCCCATGGGGTTACGTTAAGATTCACCGCAGGGCGTGCTGGCTGCAATACCGATTGAAACGACTCCTCCTCATACAACAAGGCAAGAATACCTGGAGCGCACCTAAGCCCCTCCAACTCACTGTGCGGGCAGAGCACCCACCTCTGCCCTGATGACAAGTGCTGCTACTGCCCTTGCAAACAGCGTGCTAGCCAAACTCTCCCTGCCACCTTCTCCTACCCTTTGTCCCTTCCCCAGCACGGGCTGGTACAGTGGGGAAATGTGGCACCAGAAGCTCCTCACCGCATCCATAAAGAGCTTGTGGATGGGACAGGATACTCCTTCCGATTCAGCCCAACACTTTCCCTGGCTCTGCGTGTCTGTCTTAGAGTCTGTAAAAGAGGTATTAGTCTCACCTGCATGTAGAAACAAGAACAAAAGACCCATGAAGGAAAGACAAAATACTTGTAATCAAGATTTCTTCATCATCCCATCAGCACCTGCCTTTGAGGTCAGGTGCTTCCAGTTTCATTAAATGATAGCGTGTAGGCTCTCTACAAACATAAAAGGGCTGCAAACCCTCTTACAGTAGCTGGCAACACCGACAGAAACCATGGGACATGTCACAAATGCTCTTAGGAGTAACCCTGACAAATCATTTATTCATGAGGTGTGCAGAGAAAAATGTAACTCAGGAATAGGAAGAGACGGGCTCAGCTCTGTGTGTCGCTGAGACACTTGCCCAGGGGTGCAGCTCAGGCTTAATAACTAGCACTACCTAAATACAAAATATGAACATTAATCAGACTTTTACTCAGCATCATAAACACAGCAATAGAGAAGGGACCTCCAAAGGTCCTGCCAAGACAACTGGCAGGTGGCACCCAAGGGAACCTTAAGCCTGGCAAAGGTTGCAGGCAGGCAGTTAGCGTACGTGGTACCTGATGCCTGGTGTTTATCAGAATAGAAACTAATCATTTATTTCCCTCTATCATTTTTGAATGGTTTTTTTCCTGAATTGGTCTTTACGTGCTTTCATTCTTGTTCAAGCATGACAGTCATGCACAGACACTGCCAGATGATGGAACATTTACAGTCAGATCACAGACAATAGTTGTATACGCCAAGTCTAAATCTCTAGAGTCAGCAGTGACCTTTCAGAGACAACTTGACTACCTGGCTTTAAAAATCTTTGGGGGTTTTCTAAAGCTAACCTTACCCGTCTCTGATGTAAGGTAGCTGACATTTCATCTGTCAATCCCTTTCTTGCTCTGTCCTGTATGCGATGTACATCAACACTGCCAGGTTCCATGCCGCTGCCTGATCCGGTAGGCTTTCCAACTCTTTCTGCACCTATTGATAGAAAAAATGCCTGTTTCGCTCATCAATAACCAGTAGTTCTCACTCCTCATCACCTATTTGGTGGTTTTATTCAGCAGCAGCTGAATGAACTAGACAATATTTGACCAAGACTTTCAGAAATTAGGAATCTTTACAGTCTTTATCTTCACACACGAGCAGCGGTTTTGTGGCCTGCGGAGTTTCTTTCGATCCACGTGACCTCTGTTCAAAACTATAATCCCAAGGGTTAAAAGGCTGTTAGAAACAATGTGGCCTTCAGGGTGTCTGAGCACGTAGATCATGCAGTGCCTTCTCCTTTGCATGAAACAGGAAGACATAGCACAGTCTCGAGCAGGTAAAGAGAAGAAGCAAGGGGCCGAGATGTTCAGAAATGCTTTGGGGTTCCCAGTTGCCACTAAAAAGGAACATCCAAACGATGCTGCTGCTGTCCCTTTGAAGAGAGACTCTGCAAGGGCTCGTGCTGGAGCTTGAACCGAAACATCTCCTGCGTGCCAGGCTCTAGTTCCTCAGTCTTGGATGAAGAGACCTTGATCTTTTATGACTGTCTCCAATAAATGAACCTCAGTTCTAAGTGTGGGGCCTCACTCTAGCAGGAGACCTGGGGAAGATGGATTGCTTTTCCTTCCTTCAACAAAGGAAGGGGGGCACAGAAACACGTGGCAAAGACCAAAGGTCGAAATATAAGTGCGCACAGTGATGAAACAGAAGAAAAGATGTTACAGATCTCCTAATCCCTTCTCCCTCCTCTGTGCTACCATGACCTGCACACGTAACGCTAGGAGGAGTGCTCAAGGATGAGCTACGAAGGAAGAATCAGTGGATTCTTCCACCCCATCATGGTTTTACCCTGGCCGGCAGCTGAGCACCATGCAGGCGCTCGCTCGCTCCTCCCCATCGGGATGGGGGAGAGAATTGGAAGAGTTAAAGTGAGAAAACTCGTGGGTTGAGATAAAGACAGTTTAATAGGTAAAGCAAAAGCCACGTGCACAAGCACAGCAAACCAAGGAAATCATTCACTGCTTCCCATGGCAGGCAGGCGTTCAGCCATCTCCAGGAAAGCAGGGCTCCCTCACACGTAACAGTGACTGGGGAAGACAAACGCCATCACTGTGAATGCCGCCGCCCCCACTCTTCCTCTTCCCCAAGCTCCTTATAAACTGAGCATGACATCATATAGTATGAAATATCCCTTTGGTCAGTTGGGGTCAGCTGTCCTGACTGTCCCCTCCCAAATCCTTGGGCACTCCCAGCCATCCCGCTGGCGGGGCGGCAGAGAAGCAGCAAAGGCCTTGGCTCTGCTCAACAACAACAGGTCCATATCACAAAAACATCTCTATATTATCAATACTGTTTCCAGCACAAATCCCAAACATAGCCCCATACTAGCTACCATGAAGAAAATTAACCCTCTCAGCTGAAACCAGGACACGCTCACGTGGAAGTGCACCTATGCTGCAACTTGTACTTCTGTCTTCAGGGCGCACACTCCTAAAAGTATTTACAGAACTGGCTGTGAATTCTACTTTTGCCCACCTTAAGGCTATCCCGCCATGAGCTGAACGCTATACACAATGCCAGGAGCCTCATTTTACAGTTTCCTTTTTGCTTGGGGTCACTGGAGCCACCAGTTTGCTGAACCATCCAGAT